GCTTTGAATTTTTTGTATTTTAATAATTAAAATTTTGTAATTGTAGTATAGTATAATACATTTTAAATAAAGTAATTTTCGCATTTTTTTAGCATTTTTTGAAAAAAACAAAATAAACGAAGCATATTTATAAACAAAATTTCGCATATATTAGCATATCTTACTATATAAAGCAGGCATAATTTGAGTTTAGCGCAGCAGAAAATGGGCCACCATAAATACAACAAACTCACCCTTTTTTGCGAAGATAGCTATTAATGACCATTGATGCATTTTTCATATTCACTTTATTAGCCGATTAGCCTTTTCACATGTATTACTTTACATAAAAATATAATAAATGAACGAATTTTTTAAACGTGTGCGTTTACAACTGCCAGCACGACGCTGTAATCGTCTTAACCAATAATAAAAATCGTAGTAATTATCACTACGCGTCGATTACGTAATCAACCCACCAATTTATAAATACAAAACATGTTTGCAGTCTACTCAACAGAAGAAATGTCAATTGAACCAACTGAATCACAAATAACAGTAGTAATCGAAGGGTTCTTCAAGACTACTGTGACTTGGTCGCTAATCAGGTTTCTTCAATACAGAAAAGAGGTTGACGATTTTACGTACTCTAAAAGACAGGAACATAGGTTGTACAGGTCGGCTTTGAAAGCGCTTTCCGGTGATCAAGCTGAAACAAGTCTTCTCAATTTTGAAGTAAGTATAATTTTATTGCAGAATATGTTTGTAAATTGAGTTGAGGTGGGTTCAAGGGCTAGAACATGTTCCAGTCCAAAACAATGTGACATGTTGACAAACCCCGAGTAGCTAGCTACCCTCGCCCTGGCTGGTGAAAGTGAACTTCGTCTTCCCTCGGGTGTCCTTGAATAGGCTGTTACAACCAGATGCCTTCGTCCCATTGGTTGTTATCCTTCGTCTGCCATAACGCAACCAGATGCCTTCGTCCCATTGGTTGTTAGCCTTCGTCCCGTGTTATGGTCCTCCTCAATCTTGTCTTTTTTTATATTCATCCAGGCAAATGGATAAATAATATTAAAAACCATTTCAAGATCAAGCAAATTAATAGTGATCTTTATTTGGAAGTTGCTTTGTCATTAGTAGATCCTATGAAGAGTGGTTCAAAAAATGGTATTTAATTCTTTTACTAATGTCTGTTTTCTTTTCTATAAAAAGGATGAGAAATCCTCCGAAATTGTAAAAAGTTTCTGGTTATTGATCGATAAGGAACGCTCTAAACATGAAATTGAGAATATACAGGTTTGTTAAACTATACCATCCACGAAGTTTTATACATTTTATCAAGAAACTGACTGACTATATGAAATAGTTGGACTATACCAAACGTGTGTTGAATGATACCAACAATGAAACGCATCAAATACGTACTGTGGCAACTAATAATGCAATAAAAACACTAAAACATGCGTTAAAAGGTGATGAAAGTAATAGGGAAAAAAAGAAAAAGTCTGTAAGTGGAAAAGAAAGAGCACATTGCCCAGACTCTAGTCGTACTATACCACTATCACAACAATCGGAATTCATTAACAGCGGTTGTACTACACCATCACCACATAGCCCAGCATTAAACTGTTCACTGGTAGAGCCCCCAATGCTCGTTGATCGTATCAACAATCCATTTATAGAGAAAGATGAGGTAGATGACATCTTGGTAATAGACGATGTTGATGATCTGTGCTTTATGGACGGAGACCCAGCTGATGATTATAAGATAGAAGAGATCAATGTGTCTCATTTGTTCCGGAAGTATCAGAATAATTCTATAAATATTTCAAAAACAGAAGGTTTATTTGTCGAGTCAAATATCCATGAGATACTTTCACTTTCATCGATTTTCTTGCTTATCCCTGATTCTCACTCAAGAAAGATGATCGATATATTTGGTTCTCCACTATTAGATATGATTCACCAACGAATTATTCCGACACAGCAAACTGCATTGGATGCAGAGTGTGAAGCAAAGTTCAGGGACGCAATAAAGCGAGTAACAAAAGAATCGTTTAGTCATGCTACGGATTGGTTGATGGCTGAACTTTCCAACAATAACCATTTGAAGGATAATATGGGCTTTATAATCCTGGACTGTTTAAGGACATTGCCTTTTACGAAAATCAAAAATGATCCTAGTGAAATGACATTGGTAACAAACTACTTAGATCGCATAATGAGGGGGATGTTGCATGATCCAAACATGCACATTATCGAATGGCCCAATATGGGTCTTGATGAAAGCAAGGCGAGAAAGTCGGAAGGAAGAGCTAAACAACCGGACTTCGTAGTATCTGTGATTCATCAATTACAGATATGCGGTGTCATATTTGTGGGCGAAGTAAGCCCACCTTCGGAAAAGAACAATGTATACAAAAATTGTAAGGATCTAATTCGCATTGGCGTTTTCATGAAAGATTGTTTAGATGTAGGCATAGAAAAGGGTGCGGACTTGAAGGTCTTAGGTTTTCAATGTGTCGGTAGGGTAAATTTTAATATTTTTTAATTTTGCTTCTTCCCTATCATTAATTTTAAAACTTTTCGTCTATATAGAGTACAAGATGGATTTCTATGTGATGGACCTCATCCATGGAATGTATATGATGACCCATATCGGCCAAGTGTACATTCCTTCTTCTATCAAAGAAATGAATTTATTTGTCAATGAAGTAGAAACTCTTTTAAAAGTGCGAGAGATTTTTTGCAAGTCATTTGATACTTTATACAGTAAACTTTGTAACCCAAGCCCACCATCACCAAAGGCAATCTTCAAACGTAGTACCCTCGGTACACCAAAATTTAATGAACTTGTGAATAAGACACGAAACTGTCACAGGAACTGTCCGATGTGGTATGGACGTTTTGATTCCAAAAGATAATTAAAAGACATTCTGAATTATCTTCTCCCCGAAATTAATATAAAATCTCATATTATCTAGCCAGAGTTATAGCATTGTTAAATAATAATAATAAAGTTATTTGTTGGTTATATCGGAAAGTAGTAAAAAATATGCGTAATTAATATCAAATTTTTTTCTCGGCAAAAATGATTCACGTGTAATTTTTTTTTATTTACTGTATATACATATAATATAATCTTTTGACTTACATGCGGGTGATGTGATGATACTCTATTGCATTGTACATTAAATAATAAAAGTTTCTTGTCAAATTATGAATTTGTTTTTCCGCAGGTTCAATGGTGTATTAAATCTTAGCCGAATTGCAAGAGGATCATCCCCCGTCTTGCTTAGATCAAGTTAAAAAATAAGTGAATCGCACAAATGAAATTAAAGTTTTGAGTTTATTCAATGAGACTCAATTCACGAAGATGTTCTAGAATAACTATATATGGGTCTTCGTAATACCAAACATACCTTAGTGCAATCTGGTTCTTTTCGCATAATTCTTTCTTGAGTTGATCCCGCGCAGCATAGCGGTCATGCTTAATTTTATCACATTTTGCCGATCATTTTGCCGATCATTTGCCGATCATTTTTCATTTTATCACATATAATAAACACCGTAAAAATGATTTTTATTT